ATGGTGATAGCACTAATTAAATGTAATGGAAGTTACCTCTGTACTTCCCACATCTGGGGCCAAACTCTTTATTGCCCTTCATGTTGTGTCATTTACAGTTCAGTCCCATTGTAGCATCTTACCCTCATTGTGCCCTGCTGTAAATGGCTATGCAAGTTGTTAGGCAATGGAGAACCAGGCTGGTGGATTACTCAGCTAGGAAATGAGCTAATTTCAATTAGGCTAGCTCTAAACTTTGACTTCTAATCCTAAGAAGGTGTCACTGCATCTCCTCTGCTGTGAGTCATCCTAATATGAAAAAATGGTCCTTCCACCTCACTCTCCCCCTTTACTCCCCCAAAACGCTACTGTCCTTTCTTTGACCTCTTTCTGCTGCACAGGCATTTCTCCTGGCAACTTCTCTGACAGATGGGAGGCTCCATTTCCTTGCAGTTTTTTTCTTTGACCAAATGCAGTGACAGATATTTTCTTACCATTCTTGTGTAACTGCAATGCTCCAACTGCAAGGACTTTGAGAGGCCACAGCAAATAGATGAGACTCTCAACTTCCTCTGCCAAAGGACTTGGAAACACAGTTCGTGCTGTATATCCCACCATCTGCACAAAGGAGATTGCTAGTCCATTCTTTCAGTCTTTCACTCATGGCTTTTTGTTAGTCTTATGGTCTCCTAAAAGGTAATAATAGAAAAGAAATCAGTGGGTGTACCAACCCAATGACAAATGACTAACTACAGCTAAAAATTGAAGTGAATGTCGAGTATCCTGGTTTATTTGTCCCAAGAACATTCACAAAAGTGACAGGAAAGCAATTTTTTTCCCACTCCGATCACTGGTTGTTGGCTTTGCAAAATCTTTTGTCTCTGGTGTCATATCTGGGCTGTTGTATGTGACTATGGCAGACCTAGACATTGCTCCTTTGGATTTTCAAGCCAAGAGAGTCATAAAACCACTTCTCTTAGTTGGAATTCACCTTGGTGGATGGGCATTTTGCTCAGGAAGTGGTGGCATTGTCCCAGGTGATGCAGATCAAGCATCTCAGCAAAGCTAAGCAGAGACATCTCTTCAGTGGCTGCTGAGCTGTGCCTTCCTTGAACCAACACCCTCAGGGTCAGACAAAAGGCCTAAGAAATTCACAAAATAAAACAGCATTTAATAGGTGTTCCCTTTCAATGCCATGTCCACTGATACTGAACTACTTAAAAGCTGCTCTTGTGAGACTTAATCCATTTTCTTTCTGAATGTCTTTGACACAAGCCTGTTTTATATCTCTCATCGTATGCACCCTCTTCTCCCCATCCCTTCTCACCATCTCAGGAGCAATCCCACCTTGATGTGATCAATAATTGCATTGATGGCTGTGAGAACATTGCCTTACTGGTTTGCTGGAGCAGTTTTCACAGTCTGAGGGGTAGCAGCTGGATAGCTATGTCAGTGGCATCATACCAAGCTCACTTTTTGTTGCAAATGCATCTAACGTGTGGGAAAAGGTTAATTTCTGAAAGATATAGGAATTGATAGGGAACAAGATGTCCCAGCCCTAGTCATTGCAGAGGACTTTAAAATTTCTGTTACAGTGGTACTGAAAAGAAGAAAAACAGCACGTTATACTGATCAGGGTACAAGGTCCTGTTGGCCAAAAATCTTACAATTCAAATGGATACAATTGGAAAGACGCAATATTATTATATTTGCAATGCACACAGGAAAATGAGGTGCAAAAGAAAGAGGAGACTTGCCCATTCAAGAAGGAACCCATGTTTCCAGAGTACCAGCCTAGGGATTCAGTCTCAAAAAATAACATCCCATCATATGAGCAACAATAGAACTCTCTATTGACTGATAAGCTCTAAATCCACTGCTGATACTTTACGATACATAAGTGCAGGGGATCTTTTTCTTTAGTTTTCAGACTTGCTTTGTGAGATGACATCAGATCCAGACCAATAGATCAGCCATAGCTTTGAGATGAACAAGGGAAGGTGCAGCAGAGCATCATAGACTTACCTAGATGAAGAATCTCCACTGTTAAAAGTGGTAGACCATCCTTTTTCTATGCCACTTCTTGGTGAGACTGGAAAAAAGGATTCTGCAGATTCTCAGCATCCCGTGGTGACTGAGGACAATGTCAGGGTTCTTTTTCTGTTCTGGTGTGCTTGTACTGGTGACAAGCATTCGCTCTTTGCTCTTAGTCACTAACTCCATCTTCATCTTTATTCTCAATCTTCTGTGCTTGCCCACAGAGGTTCTGGTGGAATCTGTGCACTTGTTTGTATTTCCTATTGAAATGTTAAATATGCACAAATCTATTGTTTCCCCAGGACTGTTTGTAAGTACCAGATACTCAGTGTAACACTTGTGGTTGTAGTTTACCTCCTTTCTCTTCGCTGGATGGGGAAAAATCACCATGTATTGCAAAATCTTATCTTGTTTTCATCAAAACATCATATTTGTTCTACTGTTCTCACTTCTGCCTGGGTGAATATGCCACTTGTCCGGGTACATCACCTAACATGTGGGATCATCTCACTAGCCATCTCAGAGCTCTTTTTTTAGTCCAAGGCTAGGCTGCTTCTTTCATCAGTGGAGAAAAGGACCTCCAAAACAGCTCCTTGTCTCTTCCTCCTTATGCAGGTGAACTGCCGTGGAGGGGCCTTACTCTTTGTATTGACCATAAAGGGAACCTAAAAGACTGCTTTGGAGAGAACATGCTGGCTTACTGAGAGATCTTAATCTTCAGTGCACCACTAATGAGCTTTCAGGGTTACAGCTAGGCAGAGGTTGACAGCCTTAAAACAGCTCTGTTGCTCTGTAGTTTAACAAAAATCAGAGTAACCTTGAAAATCCATATATACTGTATTCTACACATCAAAATTAGATCTCCAAAGACTTGAGTGTAAAGACTTCTGATTGCTGCAGTCTTTCCATGTCTTTTCACTGTGTTAATGAGAGTTGCACCATTGAATCCAGAAGGTGATAATGCAATGAAACCACCTCCTGCTTTACGTTCTGTGTGACTGAACCATGTTCCAGATCAGCACTTCCCTCCCTCCTCTGTCATGGAGAGCAAGGGTGCTCCTTAAACTGATGGTCTCAGTGGCTTTGGTTGAACCTGTGGGGAAAGAAGCCTGCCTGTAGCATTTGTCAGCAATGAGTTAAATACTTCTGAGCCATCTTTGCTTACCTTTGGGTTGAAAACCTGAACAGAAAGGCAGGAGAGCTGGGATCTGTTCCTGGCTCCACTGGAGGCTTCTTGCATGCTTGGTAAAAAGGAGGAGGTAATCCTCCCTCCACACAAGCGTGGACTGTCTCCCCCATTTCAAGCTATGCAGGAACTGCATCAGGATGCATTCATGCAGAATCAGAAAAGCTAGTTTTCCATTTTCATTAGGACTGCTAGATACTTCCAGAACATGGATGACTGGCAGATAACAGAGGCAAATGAACAATACAGGATTTTATTTTGTTTTCCAAATTTGGTTAAAAAAAGCCCTCAGATTACTAAAGAAAATTACTAGACCCTTCTCCCAATATTTCTCGTGCATTCCAGGATTCACCAAAAATGAAGCCGTACAATAGGGTGGTTAGTTGTTATAAACTCATCTGACAATACTTTACCTAAGAGCTCTACTTTTATTTTTAGAAGACTGTATAGAAGAAAATATTCATTACTTGTTGAAATCTTGTTTTTTTTAAGTTTGGGTCACATTATTACTTAATTATTTGTTGCCTGATTTCTCTGATAGGAAAATAAGTTCTGCAATATTGAAGTTTCCAGTAGGAAAATTGTGACCCCTGAAAATTCAGAACAGAATATTTTGCTTTATCTGGTTTCAGCCAAAGAATGAGCTTTTTATTTTGTTGATATTCTTTCACAAGTATTCAGTCTGAAATGACATGTCTTGCTTATGACCCAGTGCTTCATGAGAAATGTATCTCCGTGCTCTGTTCATTTCCAGGATATTCTTCAAAGGATTGTGTTTCCCATCATGTGTCTGGATAGCTTTCTGATCAAGCTATCCGCTACATCGTGGGAATTTCACAATGCTGTGTACCCCAAGAGAGGTGTAGCCTGCTGCACAACCATGATTTATGGCACAAACTGTGGTTACACATACCTAAAGCTCCGTGAGGTAATGTACTAATATGAGGAAATATAGTTTAACCTTGAACTTATTTAAACTTGAATGTATTTTGTTCACCAAAATTCTGATTTCTTTAACTTTTTGTCCTTCTTCAGGATAAAAATAAAGTCTGAAATACTGGTATTTCCCATGAACTTTTCAGTATGATTTCACGCATTCACTGCTTAAGCAAATGCAGCTGAAGTGTACTTGGTTAGAGGCAGTGTTGTGCCAGAGAAGCAAAAGAAAAAAGACACAGCCTTAGGAATGATGTTTGGAAGTATGGTGAAGAGCAAAAAAATAGCAGTAATCTTAAGTAACAGTCGTAGCAGCATTTTCCAGTAGCAGGGTAAGGCCAAGTCAGACAAAAACTCATGCATTGCAGGGCTGGCTGTTATTACCAGTGTCATTAATAATTACCATGTCACCATGCAGACACAGATCTGAGAGCTATCATACAGTTGCCTCTTATGTCATGCACAGAAAAGCTTCTGCTTCCATTCTTCTCACTCATGGCCCGGATAAGCTGATTTAATTAGATTCTTAGTAAAATTTAATTTCAGAAGTGACCGACTTTACTCATGCAGAATGCTAAGTTTTCATGGTCTTTGCCTTCAGCATAAACTCAAGATTTGAATCTCAACACTTAACAGAGGCTGACGTATGTTGAGGGGAAAGTAGATGATGTTCACAGACAGGAAAGAAGATGAGCTGACGGCTCTTTTTTTCTACCAGCCATGCCCACTCAGCTCGTCCATGCCCTGTGCTGTGCCTGCCCATCAGACTGGCTCCCTGACCTCGTCTTTTCTCAGAAAAGAGCAGCCGTTCTTTTGGGGCGTTTAATTCCTTTGTCTTTTTTAACATTTTTTTGTCTTACAGTCTACCCACAAGTGAGGATAAGCTGCAAGGCCAAGAGCAGTCAGGTAAGACAGAACATCATTCGTCATTTCTAGTAAGGACTGCTTAACAATAAAATATCAAGCACCACAGACCTCAGGGTGGGGGGCTACTGGGAAAATGTGATATTCATGCATAAGCTGTATATTTTTTCCTCCATTTGGAGTCATAATGAGAAGACTCTCTCATGAGGGCTTCAAGAGAAAAATCTTAGGCTCACCTTCTCCACTCTCCTTCTTCTACTGAAGGAGTGGAGGTTTCTAGGACAGTTTTGCACAGTAGTCTGGATGTTATGGTACAAGAGTTTCAGATGACTGAAATTCTGCCTGACCTGAATGCAGAACTTCTCACTTGTTCTCACCTACTTTCCTGATCTGATGAATGTAGTGAATTCAGAGACTATTGTTTTTTTTAGGAAAGGAGCAAGGAGCCCAAATCACCTCACAGCTCCTCATATATTCCTGAAAATGTCCACATTTTTAGTGCTTTTGGAAGCCCAAAATGTTATTTATCAGTGCTTCCATATCTAGACTTTTTGTTTAATGGGTTCACAAGTAGAAGATGCAGTTCATCAATATGTCATTTTATCTTGTCTCCTGTTAATCAGAGATTACTGAGGCTAAAATGCCTTATCTTCCCTCAAGTATCAGAGGCCACATTTTGCTTAGCAAAATATATTATTCATAAGCAAAGATATACTTAGATGTGCAGTAAACAGAGCACCAATTAGCACCACAGTTGGTTTACAAAGTATTTTTTGTTTGTTTGTTTTCATAAGGTTTTCTGACAGATTTCTAAAGGGCATTATTTCCCCCAAAGTATCTTCCAGTTTGGTAATGAGATTCAGTGTTTCTTGTGTCAGGAACAAAATACTTACACAGATCAGGAAATGTAAATACCGTACCCTCCCCATTACTATTTCTGTGACCTCTTAAATATGGAGAAAAGAAACGCTAATATTTCAAAATGTCAAGCTCTCTAATGAGGAATTTCTCATGAGAGTCTTCTCATTAGAGAAGGAAGTGGAGACTCTAACCACAGGTGAAATGGTCCATGTTGCACTACCTGAAGGTGCAAAGGTTGTCCAAATCACAAGATGGACACAGACACCTGAGTAGTTTACTACTACTTAACAGGTTGGATGGCTTAGCCTTGGTAGCAGTACATCGGCATGTTCTTGACCCAGAGCAATACAGGACAATACAACTTACTTTAGCCTACAACAAAAGATAGTTAAGGTGTCAGACCCTGTGTCTGCCTGGTTTGAGAGTACAGCCATACCAGCTATTGCCTCTTACCTAACTTGTAACCTATCGAGTTCTGACTATTTGATTTTTTGGTGACCTGCTACTTCCTACACCACCTACAAACACGAGGTTTCTCATAATTAAATTATTTACATAACACCCTGGCCAGTGTTTCACAGTGCTAGGTTTTTAATTTGGCAGCACTTGTGTTCATTCAGTCCTGACAATGTAAGATATTGAGGAAATCACAGCAGCAGCCAGTTTGTGGTATAATGTTCTGCTACAGGGAGGAGTGCCTACGTGCTGCTAGGGAAAAATTGTGTTAACTCTTACTTTCAGATCTTATTTTTTACATTCCTAAGCATTTTTATAGTGAATCTACAGCTTCTGTTGGCACATGAGGAGGAAATGGTATACAACAAGTAGCTGATTCTTATTCAAATTATGCTCAGTTTGCTGCTAGAAAGTCTCGTTTATGTTACCACAGCAAATTACAGGTTGCCAGTAACCTTTATGTTATCAGTTTGGATGGATATCCTTGCACTGAGTAAGCCAGAAAGAACTTACGTTAGAATTTATGAGCGGAAGAATAATCCAGTAGAGAATGTGAAAGGATGTTTTCTCCTTCTTTATTGACACAATTTTGTTAAATAGAAAAGAAAACTTTAAAAGCTAGAGAAAAGGTATTCATCTTGTGGAATGCAGAAGGATATCTTCTGTTGCTCCTAGGCAAATGCACCCCAGCTTTCAGAGGATCTACAAGTGTGTTATTTCAGTTAGGAGGGGAAGCAACAACTACAGGCACTGCATATTTGCATCTGATTTATTCCCATTTCATCATCATGAAATGATGAAACATGCACCTTACAGCTCATAGGTATAGCACAGTTAGAGTCCAGTAAACAATGTTATCAATTCTTGGACAAGTATTTTCTCCTCCAGAAACACTTGCAAGTGACCTGCAATTGTCTCACTTCTCTTAAACACATTTAGAGCATGATGCAAAGCCCAGAGAAATCAATATTCAAAAATAGTCAAAAGATTTCAGTGAATTACACTTCAAAAACTGTTATACACAAAAAAGTTGTACCAGCATGTGCTGGAATAAGAATTTAGAATTATATATTTTAATTGTATTTTTTTACTAATTAAAAAGTGATTAAAAGTGATTTTCATTATATTTGCTCTGTGTATATCTTCAATGGCTCTGCAACAGACAGTGGAATCCAACTCATAGTCCTTACTTGTAAATAGCAGGTGCTTAGAGTGTACTGCTACTGGTTTATGAAATGTAAAGGCACCTATTTTCCCTTTCTTATTGTCATGTGTTGCATTTACCTATGACTAACACACACTGTGATCTGAGCTTCCTACAATGGTATTGTTCTGCTAAAATGTTGCCTTATATAATGCAAACAGTCTTTTGGTCTTTTCTCTAGTTTGACACATTTCTGTTTTGAAGGGGGAAAAAAAGTAAGAAAATAAATTCTTTTTCTTTCTTCTTATTTGCAGTTTCCTTATCAGTACCAGAAATGGTACAAATGACTGTGCAAAGCCACAGGAGGTAGGTGTCAGACACTGCAGAGATCTGTTTTAAATTATTTTTTCTTCCTTTTCTTTTTGACAGAATGAGGAATTTTAGTTTCTTTTTCTTTTTCCCCTTTTCTCAAGCTGATAGCAATGGTGTTAGTTCAAAAATCTACATATCCCTCTAGGCCTGCTTAAGATGTGAGCTGGATAACCTGCGATGATAAAAAAAAATATCAATGCAATGCTTCCACTGTATATATACATTTACTACTGATATTGATAGGTATGTGTAGGTAAAGTGAAACCTGGGTGTAACAAAACCATGCCATCTTACCTATTGAGAAAGACTACCATGCTGCAGGATATTCCTTTTGCAGTGAGCAGGCTCTGAAGAGGAGTTATTTTTCTGCAGATTAGCGGATACAAACACAATGAGAAGCAAAGCACAGTATTGTTCTCAGGTGCCACTCCTGCTGCTGCAACTCATTGTGCCTTGTCTCTCCAAAACTTTGTTAAGAGCAATTATATCTTTTGATGTTAAGAGCAATTATATCTTTTGAAGTAGGTGGCTAGAGAAACTGTGCTCCCTAAAGGTTCCCCAAAGATTCACCATCTGTCAAAAGTGAGCCATTCTGCCACCTTTATAATTAGCATTTACTGGTACCTCACACCTACATTCTCACACCTACTGTAACATACTGTTCTTGAGAATAAGCGTATTGCCACACTCTCATGCCGACTCTTCTTCTAAGGCATTGCTATTATGTATCATTATAATCCAAGACAAAATGCAAATGTTTACTCTAGGAAAAAATCATAATGACATCCCAGAGGAGCACATGAGTAAACACATTTCATTGTTGCTTTTTTCCAACCAGGTCCCTGCAAGAGTTTTCAGAAAGTCCCGTTATGTCAAGATGCAAGCGTCTCAGCTCTTCCCACTCGCTCACTGGTGCACCCCAGAGGTTAGTTATTTCCATGTATTTCCAGCTAGGGATCAACAAATATGAGTACAATTTTGAATATGTAGTCAAGGTCTTAGTTTGTAAAAGGCATGTCCTAATTTATTTTAACAAGATCAAAATAACCTTCTTAATAACAGGTGTTTGATCTCAAATGCACTTGTACCAGCAAAAAACCAAAACCTACCTGAAACTGCAGTAGGTTTTGAATCTACTGGAAGGTAAAAGGCTGTGAGGTCTTATGGCAGCTGCAGTATGCCTTATCTGTACTGTGTCTGGAGAGAAGTGTGCCTGCAGAGCTGTGAACCTACATCTTTTATTAATGTTCTTCTTGCTAAGCTATCTAGATCGAATGCCACCAAATTCCTCTGGGGGGACAAACATGTATTTATCTCTTAGCAATGTGACCGAAAATGACTACTTTCACTTAAGCAGTAGTCTCCACAAGAGGGGAGACGGGAAGAGAATTATTTAATAAAAACAAAACCAAATGATAGCTACTGCAAGAGGAAAGTGATACGAAGACAGTGGTGTAAATAATTCTGATGTTTTCACCACAGCATCACTGAATGGCTTGCGCTCTGGGAAAAGGATCCAGTGGAGATTCTGCTTGATTTGGGGTTTGGTACGGAAGAACCTGATGTCTGCACTAAAATCCCTCCTCGGTTCCTCAGTGGTGCTTCTGTAGCAAAAGGGATCAACATCCGAGTTTTTTTGGAAGCTCAGAAGCAGCGGATGGACATTGAGAGGACGAACCCGTATGGTAAGGAGAGACATTTTGACCAGAGGAGACGTTTTAGCCATAAATAGCATGAAGACTGAGAGGGTAGGGAAGAAGAGGCTTATGAAAGAAAATTAGTGAAAAAGGGACATGTTATTCAGGAGACATCGAGGATCCTCCTGTACCCTCCGGTTGCCCTTTGTGGCAATGATACTTCCTAATGTGACTGAAATACCGTGTAGCTCTCCTCAGCTGCGGACTTGGATTTATGTGCTGAAGCTACCAGCTTGTGGCATTTTAAAACATAACTCCCCATCCCCTGGAAGGCCAACCCCCCCCCCCAGAGATTGTTGTTGGTGTCGCAGAGGCTGCAGAATTGAACGCGGGTCCATTGCCTCAGCCACTTCACAGGCAGCATGTTACTATGTCCCCACCATCATTGCTGGTGTAAGCCAATATCGAGGATTTTGAATTCAGCCAGGCCAGATGTGGGCTCACATTCCCTTTTCCCCTTGGTGGGCACAGGATCCCTCTCACAGGGAAATGTGCTGAGCAGATGACAAGATCTTAACTTCCCATGACTAGAGCTGCCAGAGCTTGTGCATCAGACCCACAAATCCCTAACTAGAACCTAACAGTTTTGTGGTTCAACTATGCCCTAAGATGTAGATGAGGATTGTATTTTAAGTACAATAAAATTGCACCATTTAAAGCAGACAGTCTTGATTTTTATTCATTTAGATGGTTTTAGTTCTCGTTTTGTGTATTTTGCAGCTCAGAAATGAATACAAGGTCCTCACCCTAAAGATATATCTGCATTAAAATAGCATTGTTAATTTGCTGGTATACCACCCATCTGAAAAGTCCAATTTTGACATCATTTCCCCTCATGTTTGCTGCACAGGATAGCCAGATGGCTCTTGAAATCTTCTGTTTACTTAAGATGCTCAGCGAAGCAGAATCTCTCACATAGTCCATGCATTCCCATTTAGAATTACACTAAGGAAGCAGTATGGATGGAATGAGAATTGAAACAGAAATGTCAGAGCATTGTGGAAAATGTGTTTCTCTCTTTCTCTCTCTCTCTTTTTTATAGCAAGCCCTGTGCACACATTTCAATATTTACAGCAAACTGACACATCAAACAGGTTTCTCAGCTCTCTCTTTCTTCTCTCTCTGTAACTCCTCTGAGAGAGAGGGAGAGAGGGATCAGAGATAATCAGTATGAGTGGATGGTGGATGGAGACCTCAGGGAAGAAGGTAGAGAACTAGAAGGGAATGAGAGTCGAGAAAGAGCCTCTGAGGGAAGGAGTTTGCACAGTGAAGGCAGGCAGTGGTAAGCCAAGGTGTGAATTTACTGACTCGTCCTGCAGTCATCCTCAATGGGAGAACTCTTAGTACATGTTAATGGCTTATCTGTACGGGGGAGTTGCTGTGAAGTAAGATAAGATTTGAATTTCTGCTTCGGTGGGTGTGATGTCCATCAAAACATATTATCTTGCTTTTGACAGTTTGGGAGGGGGTTTTCACACCATCTGCTTAGGCCTCCTAAGTACGTGCCTGGGCTGGGAACATTTAATTGAGAGAGGTGGGATTCATTCTTCAGAGATACTTACCTCTTCTCTTTTCACTGACTACATGTTTCCATATATGCGGTGATTAACCTCAGCCTGGTTCACTGCACCAAATTACAGGCATTTAGCTGAAGCACCATCTCAAGGAGCTTAATCACTGTAGAGTCTTCCTATCTCCATAGCAAGTGGAGAGAGTCAGGCAACACCTGCGGGTGATCATCCAGCCACCACTTTTTTAAGTGCTCTCAGAAGCATATCTGTCTCAGTGACCATGTAGATAATCTTGCACAAGTACCTTCCTACAGCTGGTGTTCCAGGAGAGGACTTACAGCTAAAAAGGGATGTATCAGGTTTAGCATACAAACACTTGAGGAATATCCTCAAATGGCCTTTGTTTGCAAACTGTTTTTTCCAATCTTGCCAACCTTAGGTTGTCTAATGATTTTGCAGTGAGGTATAGCAAGAAGAAGTGGCAAATTCATGTTTATTAGATTTTAAAAATGGATTGCATCTCTAGAGTGGAACCTAATCTGTCTGCCTTCAGTACTCATGCTGCACCTAAATTTTCAGGCATCTAATGAGCCAGCTCTTCTAAAGCAGAAACCTACATTCCCTGTAATGGCAATGAGAATAGGTGCTTTTGAAGGCCTCCAGAAGATGACCCAGAAAAAGACCCTTCTCTGTAAATTACGTAGAAGGTTGAGGTCTAGAGATATTCCGCAGCATTTACCTCTCCATTAACAATTCAGGGAACTCCAGACTCCTTACTGTCAGAGGACTGCTTCACAAGGGCATTGAAATGAAAGTGCCAAAATGAGGCAGACCATGTGCCACCTCTAGAGATTTCAAGACTGTTTTGAATCACTGTTCCCAGAGATGTGCTGGATGAATTCAGTTATTGTCACCCTGTTTGGTTTATTATCACTGAACCATTTCAATGCAAATACAGTCTGAATCCCTCTCATTTGTCTCTAGCCATGGAAAAAGAAGAAATTGTTTCATCTGATTTAGTGAATGCCTGAGAGGTTATTCATTGTCAATTTACTTTCTCCTATTCTCTGAATCAGCAGAGAAAGTTAATTGATTTAGTACAACATGTGTTAATCTGAGAAAGTGAGAGATAAGGAAAAAAATTATAGGTACCATTTGGAAGACAAGAAACATGGAGGAAAAAAGAAGGAGAGGGATGTGAGAGACACCAAAGACTTCCATAACAGAGTGATCCTTCTCCACTGTCATATTCCATTCATTTCCTAGTACTTCCTTTTCTGTTTCTGTCTGGCTCTTCTCTGCTTGTGATGAATATAGTTTTGTAGGCCTCCTTCACTGCTGATTAGACCTTTTAAAATACATGTGGATTGTTACAGAGTTACTTATTAATTGTCCCCTCACTTGGTGGCTTTTCCCGAGCATTGTCAGAGAGAGTTTTCAAAAGGTTCAGTCACAAAAATGGCGTGGATTTTAAAAAATGTCAGTCACCCTTTCAGTTTCTTAGCCAGATCCAAAAGAAAAGGTTATCCCCATCACTCGCCAGTGGAGAAAATTTTACTGACCTCATTAGAAGTGATACTTGACTTCATAACTGAAGAAATAAAGTCACTTGACAAGCAGAAGTTATCTTAAGTGAAAAGTAATTATATTTCTGAATATCCTGATCCCCAAATTCTTTGAAAACTTCAAGTTTCTGAACACCTCAGTTCAGAAGTTTTGAAATGTTTCAATCTGATGCTTAATAATAAAAAAAACCCACCACATTTCAGTACCACCCTTCTATACTGCCGTATCTAAATCTACGCGGGGTTTGGTGTCTTGTTTCTGTGGATTTTTACCACTCATTTCTGTCTGTCTCAGCTGCTGCAAGCCCCTCACTGGAGCTGTAGTTCAAGTCTCACTACCCTCTGTGAAATGAGTGTATTAGGCAGACAACATTTCCCATGATACATGGTTGTCCTGTGACCACCACAGGTCAGCTAGAAGAGAGGAGATATATGTCAGCCATTAAATCCACCCACAGAAGAGAAATGAAATGTAAATTGCTAAATGCATTCTCTGAAGTATAGCTTTGATTCAAGCAAAGGCAGTATTGCCAAGACTCAAGTTGAAACAATCTAAAGAAAGGAAAATATTTTAATATATGACAAAGTAGGTAATGCTGAAATTTCATTTTTACTTTTCTTGAGAAAAACTGACCAATTTCAGATGTCTTGATTTTCCCACTGAATTTTTTTTTTTTCCCCCAAATTATGCTATTTGTTGTGAAAAAAAGATGTTCATTGAAAACTTCTTGCTTGCTCTGGAAACGTTCTGTGTTCCTTCATTCCACTGTGGGCCTACTGAAGACTTTCCAAATCTTTGGAAAGTCATAGTAGGTAACTATGTCAGCCTATGTAATACCAGGTTTAAGGAAGGAGGAACAAAATGGTGAGCTGCCCCTACTAAATTATAAAATGGTTGATCATAAAGTCATTAGAAGCCCTATAAAAGATACAGATTCTATTGAAAATTCATTGATCTTCTTTACAGCACAGCCGTTTGCTGTTTTGGCTGAAGTTTCGAATGAAAATGAATCCATGTTTATGTCCTTTAATATCTCATCTGTGCTACAGTTTTAGACTATTTTGCAGCAGGCTGCAGGGACTAAAGGGATCTTATCAGCCTCTTGCCTATTTGAGGTGTAATCTTTGGGGAACACACCTAGAAACTGAAGGGACTGCTTGCCTGGAGAGAAATAGTCCATGAAGCAAGGCTGTTCCTGGTGTACTTTCTTCATGACCTGTGTATTTATTACATTGCACATGAGGAGTAGATTTTTTATGTTGTTCATTTGTCACTTCTCCTGTTGTTCGATTTGTTCCTTAGGTGTCCCAGGGTCTTTGAAATAATTTAGAAAAGCTAAGCAGTGTGTAAAAACTATTTCAAATTGCAGCAAGTTTGGTTCTGGTTCAAATCAAAAGAAAAACTGGACTGCTGTGCCACTGCCAGTCAAAGGAGATTAGCACTTGGCATTTCTATGGCCTGACATAGTGGGAGACAGATGAAATATGGAAGATAAAATATGCTTTACATGGAGAGCATGTGGTAGCACAATGGATGTACAAAACCAAAAATTATTTACTCTGACACCCCGAACTTATGCAAGTAGAAACTATACAACACTGTGTAACGTGTGTACTGACAGATCAGATAACTCCTTTAAACACCAGGTGAAACCTTGACCATGTCTTAAAAAGTGGCACCATTGGCAATGTTTTCCTCCAGTGTTAAAAGTCAGGCAATAGCTGGGGCAAAGAAAAAAAGGAGTATTCTTGAGATATAGTAACTATCAGGAATTATATCTCATGGTATTGGTCCCCAATGCAAAGGACCAACTCAGATCCATGTTAGATATCCCCTTGTTGTCTAATTGTCAGTGAAGCAGCATTACCAACAACCTGCATGCAGACTGCATGAAGTAAATTTGGCTGCTCTCTAAGAGCAATGGCAGCCAAGAAGGTTAGCATTTTGCCATCTACTGTCCTCAATGAATCTCTCAAGGAAGGAGGAGTCCTGGTGACATGTTAATTGCCTGAGGATAGGTACAGACACAACATGCAAGCAAATGTGTTGTGTTTCTTTGTATAAATAACTTCATAGTGTAGTAGTGATGGATATCTCCAGGATCCCTCGGAGAAAACAGTATTCGCTTCTCTTTAGATACTATGCCATGGAAAAAATGATCCAGAAATTACAGGATGTTAGTACAATGAAAATAAACTGGGAACCTTTATACGACATCAGCTATGAGTTTCTAGGGGATAAGTGTTTTGCTTTGTGCTGCTATGAAAAGAAGAACATAGTTTCTGTGGTCAATTTTTATCACTCAATGGCTATATGCATTTTGCAGTTATCCTGGACAGCTGCCAACTGTAAACATTTGAGATCAGATTTTAATAACTTTATTCACATGAATTTTAATAAGTCCTCAAAAATGGCATCCAAGTCTGGCCCAGCCAACCGGAGAATTTCAGGCTGGATTCTGTAACCTTTATTCACACACAGCAGTATGCAGCTGCACTTGACCCAACAAATTCAACGTTGCGTAAGTGTTTGTCTAATATAATGAACTACACAATGACGTCTGTATGTAGCCTGAATTGATCCTCTGGAAGCAAATGGAAAAATTTAGCCACTTTTGAATGAGGTACTTAGTATATGTTTCTTGGCAATGACAAGTTTGAATAATCATTGTACCTGATTATTTCACATTATATTTTTTAATAACCATGTTGCCTTCTATTCTGCCAAACTTAAGAACGTTTTCGACAGCTGGAAGTACTTGACCACGTAACCAGTGCCCTCTCATCTTTGCTGACTGATGTCAACACCCAACAGACCAAAGCACATGATGCCAGCGGGGATGCGACTGGTCTCCTGGATGCTGCGAAAAGCAGACCTGCAGTCACACGAGCGAAGCGGAGAAGAATAGGTCAGCTCCTGAAAAGGGCTTCTCAGCAGACAGTGCTGTTGAAACAGGGCTTGCTGGCACCTGGGGAAGCCAACTTATCGAGCAGGAAAGAGCAACCCTGTTCTTGTGCAGATATTGCTGAGAGGGGAACAGTCCAGGCAGGCTTTTCTGCACGTGTTACATTGGGCTGTCTGACCAAGGAGCAAACCCCCAGAGACAAAGGTGCTTTGGCATATCCCACGTCTCAGCGTCCACAGACTCCACCAGCGAAAGCCTGGGCTTCATCGCACCTAGTTGCAAAACAGCCCCACCTTTCTCCTGCATGTGATGTGCCTGCCAAAGACAGGCCAAGAAAGGAGCTACCCTTGCTTGTGGCCCACACACTCAAAAAAGTGGCCGACCTGAACTGCAAGCTGCCAGACTCATTTGAAATGGAAGAGGTGAGGGGGATTTTTCTGTATTGTGCTAGCAATGTATCTCCACCCATATTTATGGTATAAGTTTGGATTCTCTTTTTCAGGATGAAAGCTAGAGTAAATTATTTCAACAAACACCATGCAACAGCATTATGGGGAAAACAGTAGGATTTACACTACTCATTGGGGTTTTTATTTTTTTAAATTGTTTTTGTGTTAGGATACTCTCAAAGAAGTTGGCACTGAAGTTACTGAGGTAGGATTCATTCAACTGGTATGATAGTGTAAGATGTCAATGTGTTCCATGCAGCGCTAGGTTGGGGTTTTTTTTATAGAAGGAAGTTGCAGGAACACTAATACATATGGTAAGGGATATTTTTACAGATCCAGTCATTAACCAGCGTTGGGTTTTTTCCCCTATCTTTTTTTTTCCCCTAAGCTCATTTTCTGGTGTGCTTTTTCAGAAAGTTGCATCACAAAATTAGCCTTGGTTTTATAGCAGTGTTTGAAATATTTTATCGCTTTGTAAGCTGAGCATCCTAAAACCAGAATAACTCAGAACAGCAGCTTGTTCTCACATCCAGTCTGCGAAGTCCATGATACCCAATTCTCTGTGTTTTAGCAACAGTGGGATGTCAGTGGGGGTTCAACATGAGGTAGCAGAGACCAGAATACCTGCCAGTCTCTTTCTTATATCTAGAGTTTTTTTGTGAGCAGCAGTTTTTTTGGCCGCACTACTGCAGAAAAAGGGCTATGGTAGGATACTCTCCAATCATACAGACTCCACTGAGGTGCCAACAGGAATACTCTTCCCTTCCCAGCCATCCTTCAAGAATGAGGAAAAGGAAGGAGTCCAAAAATCAGACTCTACTGTAAGAATCAAAGAAAGGAGGAGAAATGGGGTGGTTGGCAGCCCTCTGAAAACATATGGAGCATGGGAGGGAGGGAAGGAAGGGAGGGAACAGCGAGTGGCTGGAAAAGGTGGGAGGCTTAAAAGAGTTATCCATTTTTTTAAAGCATTGGAAAAGGTCAGCTTAAGGTGGTGGCATTCTTCTTGAGGAAAGGATATTTATCTTTTCAAGTCCTTCCAAAGGTGTATTTTTCTGTGAAAGGTTTGGTGCAGCCTTTGTGTCAGCAGAGCTGACTCAAGAATCAGAGCCTGGACCTGATTATCAACCTTAGTGGGGAAGAGGGTGTCTTTCAGAGATCTCCAGCACAGCAGATTTATAGTCCCAAAGCAGCCCATATATCTTTGTAAAGCACTTAGCATGCTGGACTTGCAGCTCTGTGACTAAAGGCTTACACAGAAGTGAGGGCATTGACAGAGCAGTAAATGCAGATGATCGTAAGCTCCCCAGTTTGATGTCTAAGACAATTTGGTGAATGCTGTAAGCTCAAATTAGATAGGGTATATATTGTTTAACTTCTGAGTATTCTCTACCACATCATTAAATTAAGGCTGTAAGAACCATGTACTGGCTGAAACCATCAGGCCGCCTAAATTGTTAACCTGGCAACAGCCAGTAGCAGACATATGGGGAACAGAATCACAGGCATATATAGAGCAATCTTTCTCTTGTATTCTTCTAACCTTTGACAATGAGGGGTTTAGAGATCTCCTGAGCTACAGACTGCATGGAGGACACACCCAACATGCATCTTCATGTGTTACTTGTATCTAATAGATCCCCTTTTCTATTAAGTTTTTTTCTGAAGGAGTTTGTGCCGCACCATGACATGATGTTCACCTTGATAATATGAAAAAGTCAAATCGGTCTTTATTCCTAGAGAAAAAAACGTTCTGACCCTACATATGCTTTTTAGCAAGAATTTGCCTCCATCTGGTTGCTTTTCCTTGGGTTTCTTCTACTAAGTCATGTCTAGGGACATTTCTCTGAGGCTGTTCAGATTGTTAGTGTATTTACGTGTTGGGAACCTTTATGTACTTTGAGCAAGGCTTGGTAAGGTTCTGAGACTAGAGCCTGGTTTATGACAAGACATTTTATGACAAACATTTTAAAGAGGAGACAACCAAAAAGGAACCATCTGAAAGATTTCATGTTTTCACTTTGAAATGTCCAGAATGTTTTTGTTTTGTTTTGTTTTTACTCCTAACCCCCCTCATAATAAGGCATACACTCATAGTCATTACCACCAATAAGAATTTTTCTTCCTCTCTTCCTTTTCTGTTCAGATTCAGAGTTTTGAGGATGAAACTCTATGTGGAAATGCTCCTGACACCACTTCAGGTGAGTGTTAAGAAACAGACAATCTGGCCAGTTTTGTTTTTAAAACATTGTTCCAATGTAGGTGCTTTTGAAGCTTATCCTAACAATATATTTTCCCTCTCTGCTCCCATCACCTCTGGCATTTGGATGCGTTATTCTAGACATAGCAGTCTAGGTGATATGACATGATAAATCAGGGCTGTAAAATATACTCAGCTTGTCAGGAAGACACAATGAGTGCACATGAAAAGGGTAGCTCACGTGCACAGCTTTGAGTGTGTGGGGTCCCTGTCTGATGCTTTAAGCAGACCTCTCTACTCTTCCAAGTGACACCAAAGCTTTGTTCCTGCTCAGTGAATTATTTGCCAGACTCAGACGACCCCTTATCTGCCAGCTCTCAGATCCCTAGGAGATAAGTCAACCAGGAGACTGGAGATAGTGGCTCTACAGCCACTCTCTACCCAACTCAAGCAGGACTGTACAACCAGGACATTCTGGTGGCAGCATGGCCTCTACCCCATCATCTGAATCTCCTGTATCACATAGACTATCACCACATGAGCTGACATAGCATTGAATCATGTGTTAGAAAATAAGTTATTTGACGAGTCTATGAAAGGATTAAAAGCAAAGCTGTTAGACCAGATGTTATGCTGTCATTCGGGGCAATCTGAGTTTGGACAGCGTTTGCTGTCAGGGGTTGTGGTTTTGGGGAAACGGCTTTTCAGCCTCCAGAGCAGGAAGCACTTGGCCTTGCTCTCTAGGGACCCTTGCTAACCAGTGCTTAAAGCAGGACTGGCAGGTGTTTGGTTGTTGGGGTTTTTTTTTGTTTTTTTTTTTCCAAATGGGACAGAAATTTAATGTGAAAGAACTAATAAGTAACAAGAAGCAGATAGCAAAGGACAAAGCTGAAAGCTTGGTGAGCCCTTGCCTTTTGAGGACTATGTTATACCACTTTTGGGGAGCCAGCACGAATAATTAAGCAACCCAAGTTCATACACAGGTATCTAAAAAAAAATTCAGATATCCACTGGTGCTGGTCATTCACTGATGCCATTGGCTGGAGTGACAGCTGGATTTGCAGGAGTGAACTCATGAGCCTATTGAAGGCAGTGGCATAAGTCCCGCTGACTTCAGTGAGGCCAGTGTTTTCATCAAGTGTGTGGGGTTTTCTTGCTAAATGCTAGAGCTGAGTAAAGGTGTTTGAGTATAGCATGAATTCCTCAGTTCTGGAGAGTTTATTTTTGTTTTCAAATGATCTGTAAGCATACATTTGCTGTTTTGCTAGGGTTTTTTTTAACTGTGTGATAGATTGCATACAAATGCTCTTGCCACGTCTTCTGGCAGGGTTGTATGCATCCAGTTTGTCAATGTGTGGCTCCAGTGACTTTTGGGGCTTAACGTCAGGTCCTTGTTGCTATTCAGACTGTATGATATGTCACCTGAGCTACATGAGATTACTTTGATTTTGTTTTCTGATGGATGGCTTGATCTTCATGAACAAAGACGAGCCCCCATACTGGTAGTCTTGCTCATAGCAGTATCTATAACAAAGAATAGCAATTCCCCAGGACTGGTGCAGTGAAAAACACCATTTGGACAAATATTCAATGAGAAATTAAAAAAAGAGAATGTGGACATAGCCTAGTGGGGAAAAAATTAAAAATGTAATAACATACCCACAAATGCTTTTTTCCTTTCTTTGTCCATCTCTAAAAAATGAGTGTGCTATTTAATGATGAAGGGCATTAGTTAAAGGATTTAGCAGATTGTATAGGTATATCAATCACAGTGTAACGGGAAAAAAAATAACTGTATGCCCTGAATACTCTTTTAAGACATAGGAATAAGCATGTATTTAGTAGTAATTTCATGACAGAAAACACAGAAAGTATTATTTGTTTTTAATTCTGGTAAAACTGTCATCCAGTTAGGTGATCAATCAAACTCATACAGGTAAACTGAACTTGATTTATGCCTTTGAAGAACCACATTACTATTTCAGAGTTTTGTTTAAACACTGGAATCTCTCTCTCTCTCTGTTGTTTTAGTGTCATTGATGCTTGGCCTAAATTTAAAGTGGAGATTTCCGGCTTTTTTTTACAGGCTTTTTTCATATTCTTTCTCTTTTTCCCACTGCTCTTAAATGGTGTACCCCTCCATACCCATGGGAGTTTTGTTGCGATTTCAACTTGCTGTGCGTCATGGAAACAGTCTAAAAATTGCCGGTTGTGAACGTAATATTGTTAGGACTGAATAATACCTAGCTCTTCAGAAGTTTCCTACCAAATTCAGCAGAACGTGGCTCAGACCCATAAGCAGGGGTCCCCAAAATAGGACCGAGTAGGAAATAAGAGTCCATCAGGAGCCTACACGAGGAAAACCTCAGCTCCCAGGAGAGCATGCCTGAATTTAGATTTGGCCTCCACATTCCCTGGGGTGCAGGCTGCCTATTTTTCAAGACTCATGCAGTGCCTGATACCATAAGGGCCCACTCTTACTTGGTTGTGGGCTCTGTTGGAAAGGGTGTGAGTGATGATGAAGATGTGAGAGCCTGACATGACCCTGCTGAAATGGGAGCTCACCTGAGTGGGAAAGTGCGAGGTGCCTACTATGAGGAGAAATAGAGATAGATAGGAACAGACTGGTTTGCCTAGATGGAGCATATTAGAGACAGGTGACTTATAGAAGTACTTGTCCCGGTGGTATTGTCCCTTGGCTCTGTAGCCTGGCCTCAATTTTAGTCCAATTGCTTAATTTTCTACACTCCCCATGAAAGCCAATTCCCCGGCTGCTGTGTGTCTTCTTTATATTTCTCCATAATGTAGGTTCTGGCTGTTTAACTGCAGTAAGCTTTATGATAAGGCTTTTTTTCCCTCTCTCTTGGCAGAATGCTAAGACTTAATTTTAAAAGACGCTCAAACCCCCCAAACATCCCTGAATGACTTACAGGGAAAGCAGAGTGTTTTCTAGCTCTGTTTTAAAAAATATTACAATCTTTTTTATTAGGCAATTTTATCATTGTTATAAATAAGTAATTGTACTGGGGAGAAGGGATAATCCTTATTTAATTAAATTCATCTATACTCCCAGGTTGGCAGCAACCAGACATATGTGAGACTAATACCCACAGCCTGCCTGTATGCATGTGCAATTAAAAATTCACTCTACAGTAGCACTGGCAGTTTAGTGTTGCTTTTGGCATTTACAAATTCTTTTATTTTGTGACTTTTTTTTTACCATACACATATGCTGGAGCAGATGTTGCTTATTTGTTGTTTATTCAAATCTGTAGGCTCTGGCAGCTAACTCCATTGTTCTGTAATGAAGCTTTATTCACTGTCCTGTATTAGGACCCAGCAAATGCATGACAGGCAGAGTTAGCTCTCAGCAGGACCTACAGTTATTGTCCTTACTTATTGGCTGTTTATATTCTAAAGCTCACAGTTGAGAAAGCTGGCTGGGCAGGGTAAGGGGCTGGGGATGCTGTGTGCAGAGGAAAATTACTTGACTCCACTCACTGTATCTTTGCCCTGATGAGGTGCAGGCTTGCATGTAAACTCATCTGTTGCAGGGATTTCATATTCAGCACTTGAAAAATAGAGCTGTTCTCCCCCTCCACCCCCTCTTCCGCCTTGTTCTCCCCCACACACCCCTGCTGCTCCTTCCTTTTTCAATTAGCCTTTGTAAAGCACTGGGTTTAACTAAAGGATGTTTCAATGTTGCTCACCCCCGTTAACTCAGCACGTGCCTGAAAATTCATTAACAGCAACATCTATTAGGGAGGCATCAGAAGTCAGTGTTATTTTGGTGCATGCTGCAGTCACCCGCTCCCCCTTGTTCCTTATTTACTTCCCTCTCCTTCTGTGGGGCAGCCCTGCACCTGAAAGGCTGGAATTCCTACATGGTGCTGACCCAAGCGGACACACTGCTCCCAGGCGCTCAAGTGCCAACAGAAAGGCATTAGCCTGCTGGAAAAGCCCTTGGTAGCCCACGAGGCAATCAATCAGGGAAGTAACCACCTCCATCTGGCTCCCTGTGACATGGTAGCTCGCTACCGAGGCGCTTGTGATTCATCTTGTCCCAACGAGTGGTGCCAGGGATCGCATACACCCAGTTTTTGCAGCAGCTGGGAATGTCCTAGCTTCCCCACATGCTGAGCTAACACATTAGCTCCTGTGACTTATCAAGTAGCAATTCTTTCAATTATCACACCTTCACTCCTCCTACTCACCAACTCCTCTGATGGTTTGGCACCATGGGAATATTTGCAGAATGCAATTGGTATTTCTTTTACTTGACTGAGTGCCAAGAACGTGAATGCTGTTTATTATCCATTATCCATTGTAACGTCTGCCTGCAGTTGAAGGAGCAATGTCTTCAAAAATGCGAGAAGAAAAGACACGTTTATTTCCTATGCTTCAGAGAGTACAGGATTTTCGATGTACCTTTCTCTAGTTTCAGTATGAAGAAATGGACAGCTATTTCATATTTCTTATTTGCTGTAATGCCTACATAATACTGGTACATATAACACAGCGACTTTTAGCTTTAAGTACAGACTAAAGGAAAGGGAAAGGCAAAGAGATGTCCAAAGGGAACACTTGTTAAGCTGCAATCAAAATCAGGAGCTGAACTTAAAAATGTCCTACAACTACTCTTGTGTTGATACTGCCTGACATTTATGTTAAACTTTGGCATTGGTTATACGCTGGCTGCTTTGCTTTGCCACAGTCGTCCTTGACGTATCTCACGCACATGCGTATGTCTGAGTTCAGCAATGGATATAAAGACCCAGGAGGTGGTGACACCATGTTAACCAGCATAGAAACTGGATGGGCAGCAAAGAAAGGAAGCATGGCAGACTTTTGAAATGGCTTCTGGGAGGTCATGCCACCCACCAGTGGTGTCAGGACACCCTGCCCGCAGTCCTCAGGCCTAAGCAGCCATCCCAGGAGCTTTGGAGGGTTGTATGATTTTCAGTGAGTACATTCCTAAAAGTCATTGCACATTTAGAACAT